TGAAACAGGCAAACTTAGAGCTTAGGAGGCTGTCATTGTAGGCTGCATATTTAAATGGAAGGGTGAAGTGAGTATATTATTATGAACAAAAATTCACAGTATGGCACATGTAGACACTTCCTAAAAGTGATTTTAGAGATTAACGTACAGCAAAAAAATAAATACATAAAGAAATCCAGGAGGAAGAGTGGGAAATAATAAGTAGAGGATTTAATGACTTTTTTCTTTTTAAATCAATTAGTAACAACAACTTCGGACTCTAGGAATATGATGGAATAGATACTCAGGAAGTTTCTCCACTAAAAAGGATTCTGAAAGGTATATAAGGTCACACGGCTGTTCAGTAACAGGATAACTGAATTCTGGAGAAAATGGCTGCTAAGAACCAAAGAGGAGGGTCAGATTCCAGAGGCAGCAATGCCTGAACCTATTCCTTCACAGTGTGAGGAAGAGGGTGTGGCCTCCATGAGCTGAGGCATAAAGATGGGATTCTGAAGTGAGGAGTGGAACTTGAAAAATATACAGTCATTTGAAATTATAGCTCCATGTTGCTTGGGCAGGTCCAAAATTCAACCACGAGAAAGATGGATTGTAACATCTGAAAGGCATCAGAGGGGTAAGGGTGTGTCAAGGAGCTGGACAGCGGGGGGGGGGGGGGGGGGGGGGGGGGGGGGGGGGGGGTAAGGCTGTGTGAAGGGGCTGGATGGGGGGGTAAGGCTGTGTTAAGGGGCTGGACAGTGGAGTAAGAGTGTGTTAAGGATGTTGGAATTAGGGTAAGGGTGTGTCAAAGGGATTGGGGAGAAAGCTCAGTAAAGTGCTTCCTGGGGACCTGAGTTTGACCCACAGCATCCATGGAAACGCTGAACACACCTTTGTCATCCCAGTGGGGATGCAGAGTCTGGCCCATTTCTCAAAATCTAAATCCAGTCCAGTCCTCTTCTATCCAGAAAATTTATGAAGGGGTAGTGATATAGATGAACTTGGCAAACTGCAGATGGTGTTCTAAGCCAGGCTGTGCGTTTGTCTTAGAACACAGACACAGCTGGGGTGACATGAGTACTACATGCCAGAGGTGAGTAGCTATAAGAGATTGTGAATCCCCTTGCAGCTGTCCCTTATAGAAAATAATTTAGCAGCTGCTAGTTCTATATGGGCATAGTCTCAGGTGCTAGTATAAGAAAACTGGCTTGGGCTCGAGAGATGGCTCAGCGGTTAAGAGCACTGACTGTTCTTCCAGAGGTCCTGGGTTCAATTCCCAGCAACCCCATGGTGGCTCACAACCATCTGTAAAAGGATCTGGTGCCCTCTTCTGGGGTGCAGGTACACATGCAGGCAGAGTACTGTATACATAATAAATAAATCAATCTTAAAAAAAAAAGAAAGACTGACGACTTTAAAAAAGAAGAAAACTGGCTCATGAAAGAAGAAATGTGAAACTATTTGATAGTTTATTGTTTAGTTTTTAAAATACTTACCTATTTTTATTTTATGTGCATTAGCATTTTGCCTGCATGGATGTCTGTAAAGTTGCCAGATGCCCTGGAATTGGAGTTACAGACAGCTGTGAGCTGCCATGTTGGTGCTGGGAATTGAACGCAGGTCATCTGGAAGAGCAGCCTGTGCTCTTAGTCACTTAACCATCTCTTCAGCTCCCCACACTTCACAATTTAAGCAAAGCATTACATGAAACATATAATTAAGTATTAAAAAGAAAGATACACAGTTAATAGAGGAAAATACTAAAATACACACTTGAGACCTTATGACGGAGAAAAAATATGTTAACCAAGAATCTTGGAGAAAAATATCAAAAATTAATGATTTTAATGATAAAAAATAAGTGGATTTTGTTCCTTAGGGGAATAACAGAAAAATTAACAGATGGTAAAAATGTAATTATCATGCTGACTACTTAGACCCTTCTGTGGACCCTGGGAAATCAGGAAATAGAAGGGAGGTGACTTGTAAAATGGGGAAAGAGCATAAACCAGCGATTTGTAGAAGACAAAGTATACATGACACTATAGCAAACAAGTGGGTTACAAGAAAGAGATACCATTTGTAATGAATGACTTTTAGAATTTTGTACATCACTTCTGTATTGTGTGATGTCTATCCTCTCCCTTTCCCACCTCAAGTCCTTTCTTGACTCTACCTCATGTTCTTCTTTGATTATTGATGCAGGAGCGCGCGCGCGCACACACACACACACATGCACGCACACAGAGAGACATACATGTTCATATAGGTACAGTCCGCTGAGTCCATTTAATGCATTTAGTTATTATGTATTTTAAAGCTGACCACTTGGGACCGTGCAGCCTGTCACCGGGATTGTCCCGAGGAAGACTGATTCTCTTTCTCAACAGCAGTTATTTTCCTGTCGCTCCTCATTGGGGAGTGAGCCTTGTGCCATTTTCCACATCCATCACGGCCCACTGTTCAACTGCTGGAGCCATTTTTCAGGTCCCTCTTAGGGCTAGGAGTGGGGTTGCCTTGGGTAGGCACCGGGGCAAGCTAGTGGGTGAGCTGTGCCTGAGATACCATTTCCCTCTCAGTCATGAAAACAGATAGTGCCAAGTGCTGACAAGGACAGAGGAAAACGTTTGCGTGTTGCTCTTGGCAATGCAAACTGGTACATGGCTTAGAAACCTAAAACCTTGTTCTAAGGCTACACGGATCACCTTAGGATAGAAATCACAGTGTTATCCGTGATAAAATGTGATAGCTAGACTATCTCTTGGGCGGGAGCCGACTGTACACAGATGCCACAGTGGACCTCTGTGAGAAGAAAGGAGCAGCCAGGAGCTGTTTTCAGGGCAACCGTGTGGATAAAACAGAATTAAGAAACAGATGAGATTTAAAGCAAATAATTCATATATAATTAAAATTAAATGTTTTGGAGAGCACTCCGTATTTTGACAGATGGAAGACATGTACACAAATCTATAAAGAAGATAAACACTATATTAACTGTGCTACAGCCAATCCCCGAGTTGCAAGGAGATTCAGGGGTTTGGGACACAGAAGATAAAAGGTGGGGGGGGGGGAAGAAACAAAGGATACCAACCAGTCAAGGACTCGGGATAACCACAGTTCATCAGTTAGAGCCCATGCTTAAGTCAGGTTTGCCCAATTACCCGTAAATGGAAACAAATGTCAGGGCCGTTGTTCCTTCCAGCATTGCTAGGCTGGTGCTCAGACAGTGTCATTAGGTGTTGGTTTGTGTCTCAGCTGTTTGCTAAGCAGTCGCTCAAACAGACTGAAGGGTCAGCTTTAAGAAAGGACCTTTCCTGGCATGGGCTGTGCTCAGTTGCGGGAGTTCACTGGCTTTGGTTATCTCATGTCCACCTCCCAAAGGATTAGTGCACTAGGGGATTACAGGCGCTGGAGTCAATTCCCAAGACCTGGATTCGGCAGTAAGGAAAACCCTAACTTTAGAATGTGTTACCAACCATAGAAAATTCAAGGAAATGCGGCTGCAGCTAGAGGAAGTACTAATTTTTGGTAGCTGCCCGGAGAGCATGCCTGAGAAACCATTTGGGTAGACGCCGCTTGAAAGCCTTACAAACTTAATGTTTATGAGCTGATTTAAATAGCTTACAAACCAGTATATCTATCCTTAATGTGAGTCTTCCCACCTGGGCCCTGAGCACATGCGGTGTGTCAGGTTCCATCCGCTGCAGTAGAGGACCATTCCATAGCTCTCATTTTAAACAGTTGCCTCTCCAAATCATCATGCACTTATTGATCTACTTGAAAACAGCCTTCCTGTTTTTAACTTCATCCTTTGTTTTCCCGATTCTTTGTTCATCTTTCACTGCCTTTTCTCTTATAGGTTGGTCTCTGGCCATCGATTCTGTAGTGAGCTGCTTCTGACTTAGAAAAATGTAAGGACCTTGGTCACTCAGTGGTCACCGGTGTGTAGACATCACCTAGTTAAGATTATTCCTGGAGCATGGGCGGCTTTGGTCCACACTGGCTGCCGAATGCTCAATTTCATTTCTTTCTCCCTCATGTTCATTCTCTTTCACAATGTCATGGCAAAAGATGTGTTATAAACAACTTCCAGTAGGAAGGATTTATTTTGGTTCAAGGCTTCAGAGTTCTCGTTTACAGAAAGGAACAGTGGTGGAAGCAGGCTCTTCATTTCACAACAGGTAGCAGAGGAAGAGAGACAGTCGCCAGAAGGCAGGTGACTTCAAAGCCCACCCCCTACACATCATATACCTCTGTCGACCAATCCCCTTCCTCTAAATTTTCCAGACCCTCCCAAAACATCAGCACCAAGTTGCTCAACACATAAGCTTCTGGGGGACATTTTGTGTCAAATTGTAACACTGTCATGGAGCCTCCCCCTGAAGGAGGATATGGAAAAATTAACACGATTTACCTGATCTGTCTCTGCGTCAGCCAGGAACTAGTCTCATCTGAAACTCGGTTTTGTTCATTCCTTCCTTCCTTCCCTCTCTCATGACGGCAATGAGTTGTAATAGTTCTCGGCGGACGTGCATTTTGTAATCGTAGGCGAGGTCAGACAGTGTTTGTACTTGTGCTAAATTGCTATTGTACAAACAAAGATAAAAGCCTTTGAAAGAAGCTTTTAACAATTACGTTTGGACTTAGCCCTTTCCGGTGAATATTTCCATGTTGGCAGAGATGATGAGATCAATGGGAAAAGTAAGTATTCAACATGTAGGACCCTGTGGATTTGAGGGTCCCGAAGGGCCGGAGAATTTAGGCATGAAAGGCTGCTTTGTCCTCCACGGTCCAGCTTCTGCTTTGCAGCCTTCACAGGAAACAAGGCAGCAGTGGAGGGAGATGGGAATAGTCCTAGGAGACTTACCTGGAGCTCTCCTAAGGGAGATTAACCAGTTTAAATGGCATCCTCTTTGCATCCAAAAAAAAATCTTTATTAATGGAAATTGCCTTCTTTAAAGGGATGAACCGAGTCGTTTTCTCTTTTGAATGCTCATTTCCTAAATTATGTTCTCTTTCAGATTCACTGTGAGACCATGTCATTTAGATTTGGTCAGCATCTCATCAAGCCCTCTGTGGTTTTTCTCAAAACTGAACTGTCCTTCGCCTTGGTAAATAGGAAGCCCGTTGTACCTGGCCGTATCCTTTTCTTGTAAAAGAATCATGTGAACCCAACCAACCAAATTCATATAGAATCAGCCTTTAGCATCTGTCCACGAAAGGTAAGCAAAGCAAGGAATCTCCCTCCCTCCCCATTTGGAGTAACCAGGTAAGATGTTATTCATATTTATTTTGAATCCAGTTGGTGGCACCCGTAATATGCTTGAGCAATGTTGCAGAACTTCTGAGGAGGGTTGCTTAGCAACTGTAGCTTTGGAGGGGAATTTTTGGTTGACCTTTTCACTACTATAGCTGTGTAAATAAATAGGTGTTTCTAAAATTGGTTCAATGAATATCATGGGCACTTTGAATTTCTTTTATTCGTTGTGAATTTTGATAAAGGGTTAGAAAGAGGATGGTGGTTCTATACGGTGGGATTAAGGGATTACAGGAGAATTAAAGTTTCTTTGCTTAATGGAGATTGTTTAATTTATTCACTTATTTTACTTTATTTAATTTTTGTGATTGTAACATTATTACATCAGTTCCCCTTCCCTTTCTTTCCTTCCTTCCTTCTCTTTCTCTGTCAAATTAATGGCGTTGTTTTTCATTAATTGTTGTTATCTACATATATATGTATATGTGTCTATATATATATACGTATTCTCTAGATAAACCTGCTCAGTCTATATATTGTTTCTTGTATGTATTTTCCAAGGCTGAAGATTTGATATCGGATAACCAATTATTGCGTCTTCCCTAGGCAAGCCTATGTCTCCCACTCTGTAGTCCTTAATTGCCTATTGTTCTTTGTGTAGGGCTGAGGCCTCAGGGTCTTTCCCCATCCACCTTCTTATGTCTATTGGTGTTTGGACAGTCACACTGGTGGTAAAACTTTATGGGTGTAGCGTCCAACTTTACCAGGAGACACAATCTAACATGCTATGAATGTTGTGATCTGTGCTGGAATAAAAATGTCAAAAAAAAAAAAAAAAACTGGTTTCCAGACCATTCTCCATTGCGAGTGCTTGATGAATTGCTTTATTTTGTTGGGAGAATGTTCCCGCCACTGAATTCTGCAGCAACAATTAGAACGGGTGGGACGCTCAGAGAAGGTGATTTATTTTGTGTTGAACATATCACTCCTGGAGTTTCCACAATGCTCTTCTCTTCCTCCTTAATTTTATTATGCAATGGGTAACAAGGAGGAGGCTTCCTATTTTAAGATAATAGCTCTTTTCCACACTGAACCATGATTTGCTTTGAAGTTAATTCCTTAGGATAGTCCTCAATGTAAAACTGTTTCAAGATTTTTTTGGAGTAAATTTTTCAGTGAAAGTGTTTGAAGTTCTTAAGAACTTCATGAATAACTTGCTTCCTTAGTCATGTAAACTCTTCTTGGTTGAAAGGAAAAAGGAAAATCAACCCCCAGAATAAAATTGTGATTCTCTACTAAGCTCTCAGTCCTAAGCCCGAATTTTACCTCATTAAATTTTGCAAAATTATAAAAAAAAACAATGAGCAGGTAATCAATGTATAATTAATGCTGGATGAAAATTATTCTTTCTAACATTTAACTATTTTTGTAAAAGTTTAAAGGTAAATGCTCAATGTTGAGAAACCAGCTTTCTCTGCTTCTGAAATGGGGAGAGCCCAAGGTGGAATGACTTCGGGAGACTGTGAAACAGACAGCTTATTAACTATGGAGTAATTTTGTGTTGCGTTCTTCAAATGGAGCCTGATAAAAGCATCTTTGTTTCTTCCTTTGATTTTACTGTAAATTTACGGTGGTCATTTTTTTTTCTTGGAGAGTTTTTACACAAAAATATAGTTGGATGTCAAAAGAATAAAGGTAAAATTACATTATTTTTTTATGTGCTAGCTTTCATTGACTTTTAACAAGGGTAAGAGAACTAGGGATGAAAATGAGAATTTAGGGGAATGAGTCTTCATACTCTGATGTCCTGCAGGCCTACTTGATGCCATGCAGACCCACTGTGTGTTAAACGGTTAATAACGGAGTGCACTCTGCTTCGTGAATTTTCATTTGTAACTTGATAGGACTTGATTCTTCTGCCGTGCTCTACTGATTCACTCTTTAAAGTGTGATGCTGAGACTGGGAAAATATCTGACAAGAACCTGGAAGTGTCTCCTTTGAAGGAGATGACCGCAGTGAATCATGGGCAGCAATGAGATTTGTGCCCTGGACCCACCATTTTGAAAGTGAAACCCCAACAGTTGCTGTATCTGTGAGACAATGCCAAGAAGATTCTAACCAGTGAGCATGGGACACCTCGACCTTGGGGAGGAACCTGCTTCTGTCTGAGAGTATGAGAGCCAGGATGTTTTTGGAACTGGCACATGTGGGAAGCCACCTCCTACCTCAGCTCTTGAGAACCGCTTTATGCTTTAGATGATGCAGTCAGACAATGCTGTCCTGTATTTCATGTTCCCTTTGCAGACTAGTATGTGTGGATGTGGGGGTAGAGGGGGTGGTTCCCAGAATTGGGAAGCATCTTAGTTAGCAGTTGCTTACTTGCAGAAAGCCACATTCTTCTGTCCCGAGATTGGGATTGTACCTGTGGCTAGCTCTGTCTGCTCACATTCCATAAAATCACCAGGAAGGGGCTTCTACCCTTGGCGGCTTTCTATCCTGCCTGTCCTAGTGTAAATGTTACATGGCTCCCCTAGCTTCTGCCACCTCTGCCTCTGGGCTTCTCCACCCCGGTAACATCATTTTTCACGTTCCTTGTTTATAGATCATTTTGTAGAAGAAGTCCAAACTCCGTGGCAGGTTTTAAAAATCTTTAGTATCTTGTAAGTGTCTATCTTTCCAGTCACCTGCTATGTGTTCGTTCCCTTAAACACTTCCTCTGCCCCCTCTACTCTGAGGCTTTCCCCAGCCTTTTCATTTCAACTATGGCGCTAGGATAACTACTCTTCCCTCTGAGTGAAGCTATCCTCATTGGTTTTTGTGACTTTCCATTCCTTTTGCACACATTGACTCCTTCAACCCTTGCTTACCAAGCCCATACTCTATTCCTGGTACCATGCCACATATCCCAAGCTGCCTCAGAATGGATGCGCTGTGCATCCTTGGTTGTCTCTGCATAGGCTTTCCCTCTGTTCAGACTTGTTCTTAACCCATTTTTCAAGCATCCTGAGTCCTGTTGTAACCGAAATTAAAGCGGAAACTGCAAACACCGAGAGCAAATACCTCCGTGTAATGAATGCACTGAGGGAATAAGGGCCTGCTGACTTCTGTCTTTACGGCCACGCCCAGGGCCAAATCATGCCACCATGCTATTCCAGAGTTTCTAGCATTGTGTTCAGGCTGGCTGCCCTGATTTTCCCCATCCTGTTTTCTGTGGTGTATTGTTTGTCTCGTGGGTGAGGGGGACGTCTAAATAGAGTAAATGAGCCCATAAACGCCCTCAGTTGACAGTACTGTATTTTCAGGACGGTTCTATAGCAACTTCAGGTAAAATGGAATGTTTTACTTTGAATCCTTGTTTTACCATTTTCCAAATGACATCTAGGCACCCTGTGGGGAGTGTGCCATTGATGAGTGACTTGTAAGCACTTTTATTTTAAAGTGATGGCCCCACTGATAGTTGGTTGTTCTGACCAGCCCCTTTTCCCTTAGGATTTTGCTTCTTGACTTCAAAAAGAAAATACCTGCATGTCTGTTGCATTTCTGCGTGGGCACACACGTGGAGGTTAGGGAGAACTCAGGTGCCAGTGCTCAGCTTTCACCCTGTGTAAGCCTGGCACTCTTACAGTTTGTTACTGGGTGCACAGACTAGCTTCTTGGGAGTCTCCTGTCTGTGCCACCCGTCTGACCGCGGGAGTTCTGGAATTGAATTGCATGCATGTGCTACCATGTCAGGATTTTGCATGGGTCCTGGGCACATACTTGTGGCCTCAGGCTTGGCTGACAAGTCCTTCGCCCACTGACTCATCTCCCTCTCTCCCTGGCCCTGGAGTTTTGTCACTTTTGTAGCAGAGAAGGAACTGTCCGACCAGGGGCCAAAGGTGTGCGTTTGAAGCGAGACGATGCTTCATTCACAAAAGCTCCACTCCGACTCCTTCTCTCACACATAAAGCACACACTCCCATTCCTTGCCAAGTCCGCAGAGCTAACTGAATAGGCTCTGGCCTCTGTGGTGCGACACTCCAAAAAAGAATGTCAGAGCGTCTTTAATCCATTAATTTCTGGGTACAGGAAAGTGCTTTCCGAGCTTGCGTGGTGAGAGGACAGAATCGTTTTTGAAGAACTGCATCTTCAGGATTTTGTTGAACGTTTTATTCATATGTTTCAATGCAGCTCAGCTCTGGTTTATGGCTTAAATAAATTGGCACACTACAGTTAGTGCTTCTCCTTGCCCCTCCCCTCGGGTTCTGCTTTGTCCACCTCTCTCCTCTTGAGTTGAGCATGAAAAATGAATTTGAACATGAGTGGAATCCATTTGGTGACTCGGGCTTTTATTGTAAATAAAATCACTCATTTGTTATGTCCCGTTGTTTCCAGCAGACAGGGTATTGATCTGTGGATTGCTATTCAGAACAGTGCAAGGCGCCCTCGCGGAAGAGGGACAGAGCAGTGTTTGTGGAGGCTTTTGGATGTGGCCTGTGATGGAGACAAACATTGCTCACTGGTCATACTACATTATACAAATCATTTGTCAACCGTTTATTGAATCAGCTATTACAAGGAACCGATTCTCCGGGCCAGGCGCGTCGCACACAGAGTGCTCTCAGGACCAAACAATATTAGGATGATGCATGGCCGACGGCCTTCCAAAGTGTATTCGTGAAGAATTAGAGGAGGTAACGTAAAGGACATTTCTGCTGACACGTTACCAACAAAAAGTTTGCTGCGGCGGGAACTGTGCGGTAAGACGCCGCCCCAGCAGCCAGGAGAGAAAACCCTGACAAACACTTTTCCGTTCCAAACTTTTACCATTTCCGGTGAGGAATGCTCCCTTCTCTGACTTCAGACCATTACCACAGTTGCTCCCGAAATAAATGAAAAAAA